GCCGGCTCCGGACCTTACAACCACTGCCTTACAGAAAACCTGTATTAAGGAACTATATCCTTACTTTTCACAGCGGTTACCGGAACCCAAACTCTCCCTCCCCCCTGATTATGGAGTGAGGGGGGGAGGTCGAAAATTCCCTCCCAAACAGTGTTCCTTTTCTGGATCCCCCCGAGTTGGAGTTCTGGTAACCTCAATCAATGAAAAGCAATGAAAGAATTGCATTGTGGAAGAACGGGTGTGATGTCCCTCCAACACAAAAGGAGGATCGTCCGACCAGGGGCGAGGTAATCATGCTTAGCGGGCCGCGGCCCAACGGTTGATGTTGGGAAGTTGTAAAATTCTTCATATCGCGATACAGGATTAGCGATTCTCATTGACGTGTTACTCCGTAGTTCGATGTGTCTTCGTAAGATGGCGCTGTAGCATGTTTCTGTTTCTTTGTATGTGGGAGTGGCCACAGCTTAATACTGAATGCTGTGGGATCACTCCGGTCGTGCCGAAGAGTGGCGAAGGAAGGCACTCTCACGGTTCATGAAAAAAAAAATGAGAACGCCCTAGTATGAAAACATATTATTAAAGTCATTGAAGACCACCAAAATTATCGTCCAATGAACCGTACTAGCTCGATCTTCAGCCTTCCTAAAATGATTTTACTATATTTTTACCTGCATTTATAGATAACGGTCTAAGAAATACTTAGTATTCAAAATATTATGCCTAGGATATCCTGTATTGAGGGGACTGTTACACCACGCATGTCACGCACGCACTTCCGCTCCATTAGTTAGTAAAACTTTTATTAAGATTGATAGCTACATTTGCTACCTATACTTATTCTATGAACAACTAGTTGTACCCTGCCACGTTTCGCTCTGGTTCATTGTGGTCGCATTGATGAGAAATGAGGAACGTAAGTGACGCGAAAAATTGATATAAACAATCTTTAAAGCGGGTTGTGTATCGTGTCAAAAATTTTAAACAATCGGTGCAGAACGTTTCAAGTATTTGAAATGTACACAAACCAACTTAACATTTTTATATAATTTAATTATATAGATTTATAGATACCCGACTTAGTGAAAGTGAGAGCTCGTTCAATACCAAGTGAGCGTTGAACTAAGATTCATCAAAAGATTTGGATAGTCTACTAATGGACGAAGGCCTCTCCTTAGAAATGAGGTTTTGGCCTACTATACCACACTGGCCAGACTTGTTGGTAAGAACTATGTTTAATGTATATTTAAAAATTTGAAATTCTTAAAATTCAAAGTAGGTTTTAATAGAGTTTTAGTCACAGATTCAAGTAGGTTTACAAAATTCATTAAATAAGATTTAACCCTAAAAACTTTGTAATCAGGGACCCCAAACTCGGGACCTAAGTGACACGGCCTATTCAAAAAGTTCTTTCAGTAATACACATTTTATACCTAGTTGTACTTATCTCGATTTAAGATAATGCAGCGACGGAGCTCTTATAAAAGGGACTTGTTAAACGATAAGGCGCTAATTTACATTTCATTAGGATAAAATAATTAGTTAATGAATTGAATATTTCATTTAATATTCTATAGGAAATTAATGTTTATTGTATTTTGGGTCTATAATGTGGTAGTAATTAGCTTTGTTAAAATAATTGAAGGCGATCTAATGAGTTGTGCGATGTCACACCGCCCCGATGTTTCCTCCCTACCTAATGAGAAGCTAGTGACAATTTCGTATTCATCATCATCATCAACAGCCTACAACAGTCCACTGCTGGACATAGGCCTCTCCTTAGAAAGGAGGTTTTTGGCCTACTATACCACGCTGGCCAGACGGGTTGGTAAAAGGTTTTTTTTTCTAATGTGCTGCCGTAGGCGGCTCTTACGATACCCATGGGATGAATAGGGGTGGTGACACTCCGTATTCTTAATCCGTCACCACACAGATAACCCTTTTCGTATTCAATTTCGTATTACAAAACTAATATAGCCAGACTTGGACATGATGGATATTAGCTCCAACCCCACTCCTGGTGACTACGCACCTTATTAACAACAAGTTTAAATAACTACTTTAAGTCTTGAAATTGATGAGTGTGATTTTTCAGACGCCGTAACAATCTTTTGAGTGCAGAACTGTTACGAGTTTGAACCCAATTTGTAACTTTTCGAATAATTAATCGTTCTTGTAACAAAATTTATTTTCTTGGGAGTTTTCAATATTTTCTTTTCCGTGATTGACTTTTAATGGTTTTATATTAGGCCTATAGAGGTGGCAGTTGGACTTAATGGGGCACACTGGGTCTATTTGTAAGTTTCGAAAGAGCTTCCTGGAAAGAGTTATTGTTTTAAGGAAACTCCTATGATACTGTTTTCCGCTATATTGATAAAACATCAGCAAAATACCTACGTTCAAAGTACAGACAACTCGCAGACTTTTAGTTTCTTTTTATCGTTTATTTTTATTTTATTCAATTTTTTACTCAACATAAAATATATCGGTTAAGAATTCGACTTGATTTCGGGTATATAATTGCTTGTTTTTCCTCGAACTCTACGACGGCTCTTTTCAATCTGCTCGTTTGTTGGTAATTGAATCAAGATAAATATTTTCATAAATAGAAATAATAAATACTTGTATTTTAAATATTCTTGTTATACTGCGTCCAGCTTCAAAAATCAAATATCATTAATGACATGAAAAGATGATATTGTTTGTATTTATGTACAAGCACGTAATTTTCATTTAATAAACTAGTAACGACCTACATACTGACAAGAATACTATCTGCTAGTTAAAAATATTCTATAGTTACATATTACATACGTACGTATGTGCAGTATTAATCACAAAACCATGTTTATGAATTCCGTAATGCGAAAAAAGCAAGTACCTATCGGGCCACGCGCACTGCAGTGTTCCAGAGTGTGAAAGACGTTTTTTATGGTATAGGGGCAAACCAGAAGATGGGTAACCTGTTGGTAACTGACTACCGCCGCTCGTGTACATCTGTAACTGACTTACAAGTGCGTTCCCAACATTTTAAGTTCCCCACTCCCAGAATCAGGTTTCGAGCTCCTATAACCTCACTTAGTAAGTGAAAAACGAGGCAAGAGATGCTTAACACCAGTTTTCTGTGTGGCTATGGAATCACTCCGGTCAGCCCTGCCCATCTACGCTGAGGATGGCTCTCCCACATAACTGTTGACTTTGATGTAATTTACTAATGCAACTAATACTAATAATTTCATACATCTTACATATGGTAGTCTGATCCCAAACTAGGCATAGCCTGTGCTATGGTTACCAGGCTGATGATAAACATAATTATTTATTTCTAAATACATACATATTATAGATAAATTACAACCAGACACAGAACAAACGATCGTGCTCATCACACAATATTTGTCCTGGGTGGGAGGAACCCACGACCTCCGGCTTATCAGTCAGGGTCACTAACCACTAGACCAACAGCCCGTTTAAGATTCTATATTTACCTTATATTTTCATCTGTAATTAATATCTTGTTATAAAAGACTTCTTCGAAGGGCTCCCGGCCAAGTGGTAGTGGTAGGTTAACATATTAAAAAGTCAAGCAATCCTAGTCAGGTCAGTCTATGGAAGGATGACCCATGGATTCTTAACCCATGGAGACCCCTTCGTACCTCGGAGAGTACGTTAAGCCGTCGCTCCCAGTTGCTATACACAGTGACAATCATTATGGGTAGTTGAAGCACTAAAAAATATGACGAAAGTCTTTTCACACAACTTCGATATCGCCTAGTACTTGGATTGTGGAGGTCTGATGGGAGTTGCTCTGCGTTAAAATCCAAGTTCAGCAGTATCGTAGTAGACTTAAAGCTGACCCCAACCTGGTTTTGGAAAAGGCTCATCATCATCATCATCAGCCTATCGCAGTCCATTGCTGGACATAGGCCTCTCCCATTGCACGCCACTTAGATCGATTTTGGGCTTCTTTCGGAAAAGGCTCGGAGGACGGAAAATATTTATTCACACTATGTTTGTAACTATATACAGGTTTCATTTTGTTAGTAACTAGCTGGCTTCATAGAATCTCTTCTCTACAAACTATCATCCCCTGTTTCACACCCTTCAAGTTTTACAAAATTAGTTTAGCGGTTTATTCTGGAAAACTTTACAGAGAGACGAATTTATTTTCGTATTTATACTATATATGGCATTGATCTTAATTCAGAAACATGATTGATATCAAAATTTTCACCTCTTTGTCTCGTAAATACTTTTTTTTAAATAGCAGTAAAGAAAAAGAAATGACTAAGTATGAACATGTTAAAATGAAAAAAAAAAACAACATCGACAAGGCACGTGTGGTACTACGTATCTAAGATATGGAAAGGAGAAGACTGTTTGCACTTGGCAGATTAATATGGTATCTAGAACTGTATTACAACTAGAGTAGCAATAAAATTTATATTAACCACACACACACACAGCTGAAGATCTTTTTAGTGTAAAACTAATTAGAACTAATATTATGAATAGCAAGACATTCGTTGTTTTCAAAGGCTGTTGATGTGATGTGATGAAATCCTATATATATATATAATATTTTATATATTATAATAATATAATTAATAATTTTTATATTATAATATTTTTATATAGTTATTTTTTTTATAAATACATACATATAAATATCATCATCATCATAAAAATGACAAATACTAATAAAACTAAAAAAACTTTAATACTATGATGATGATATAGTTAATTTCTTTCCGTATATACGAGTATAAATATGCCAATTATAAATCCATCGGTTATGTCTATATAAGTCGTGTCGTTGGCATTTTCAACTGTTTGGTTTTGTACCTATAGTATGTTTTATTCTTTAGGCTAAACGACTGTCGATTTTATTTTTTCGTAATAATTATTGGTATCATGTATTTGAGATTTTCTTCTATTTCACCTATTGTTGAAATTGAAATTTTACTTTTGAAACTAACCTTTTTTTTCCTCTTTGTTTACAGGAAAACCGACGACATTGATGATGAATTTAACACCATACCATTGAACGTGAACGGAAACGCGCATAGTGCAGGCAACGCTGTTTAGTGATGGAACTATTCTAATAGGACGGTTGCACGCTGACGACTATTATGCAAACACCTTTCAATAGAAACTCATGTATCCAGGCTATTTAGACGTGGCTTCCAAATTTAAATTATAACCATTTGACAAGTGTGAGCGACTGAGACAGATGATATGTATAACTGGTATCGCATACGTGTTAATTACATTGTGTAGCAATTGTTTTTTTTAAATACGTCTTATTACGTTTTGTGTTGGTCTAAGTATCTTAATGAATATCTACGAGATACTCTGAGAGGGAGATATTGATGTACGTAACTAGATTTATAGTTTTACTTATCTTTTACCATTTGTCTAATAATGTATAAATAGAAATGTTGAATGAAATTCAAAATTGACATTTTTCTTTGTAGATGTATTCTTACTTTGTTCAGTAATCGATTTATTTATAAAATTACTTGAACACTTTAAAAGTGATAACATTAGCCATTATTGTTAATATATAGGAGATTATGCGTGGATGACAAGATAAGATTATCTTTTTAATTTCATTTAACACGATAAGATTAGGCAACAATACCAAAGTGAAATGCATTTAGATAGAGCTGTAGAAATGTACGTACATATAAATGACTGTGTAATAAATGAAACTTTTAAATGGCGTAAATTCTTGAACTAGTGTGAAAGTTAAAAGTGATCATCTCATCCCAATCCTGCCGCGTCACTTTAGTTCATTATCGTCAGCATGCAAACGCCCTTAATTGGTTCGAAGTTTAAATAATGCGGGCTGCGGGCGATCTATCGGCGTGCCGACACCACCGTCGACAGTCGCTAGTTTGTCGGCTGCCTAACTTAAGTTACCCTATTTATTTATTAGAATTCAAATAGATCGCGAAAATAGTCCAAGTTTAATCTTCCTTAGGACCCTTTTAGGTATTAAGTAAGGACTGATATTGTTATAAATACTCTATTAGATTTTTTTATTTTAAATCGCACTCCTCACTGCCTAAGTTGTCACTTACGTCAATTACGTACCTATTGTTATATGGCTTTATCGCTGTAGGCTAGTCTACTCGTATTCTCATAGGTACCTTGTGATTTAATTTCTTCAGTAATTGTTGATGTTTTTGTATTCGGCGGAATATGTATAAATTATGTATTAAATAAAAAGCACTTTATCTTTTATATGTGTTTCATTTTTTCGTGATTAAGTTATGGATCAATCGGCTTCGAATTCATGAATGCAAATCGGGTTGTTATTTCTTTGCGGAAACAACATGAATATTTTTATTTTTAATTACCGGTCACAAAGCAAAAGCAAATCATTGTCTTTTTAAACATTTGTGTGCAATATTTTGCCAGAATAAAATTGTAAGGAATCCTGTGTACCTGATATTCATAATTCAATATGTCAAAATTCCATCCATCGTTCCTGATGCTCAGTAGAAGAATACATAGTTTCTAGGACTTGATTATTGTTTAATTAGTTTGATATTCATATCGTTGTTCTTCTAGTAATAAATATTGCCAACATATTATCCTGCGTAATTTAGTCTAAAAAGATTTATAAAAAGAAGATCTAATTAAAAAAAAATGCAAACAAAAGCTCTACGATTTGGGCTTTTTTTTTCTTTTTATAAAAGACATCTCCCGCATTGGGAATATATCCTGTGTCGCGGGGGATTAATAACTTTACTTTTTATTATTTTCTTCTTGTCAGCTATCATTAAACTCATTTTTTTAAATATCAGATGTGTAGTCAATTTTCGCATACACATTCGCATTCATGAACTTATATCGTAACTTCACTAACACAGATAGACGACATGCGGGCGGATGTAGTCAGCGTGAGAACCGCTTTTATGACGTCAGAGGTTAGTCGTCACACTCGTACGTTGATTGCTTTGTTAAGGATTGTTGATACGCCAGATGCGGCCAAAGAACACGAAGATTTGATCAAGGTTGTGGTTTTGACAAATTTTCATTCTCATTTGACATTCTCTTCCAGTCGACCGATTGGGTGATGCAGAGAAACGATGAAGTTAGGAAGTAGGTACAATCATAGGAAGGCAATCAGTCAGCTTTTGAATATTAAAAATTAGCTCTATTTACGAACTAGGGTATTTCTATTAGAACGCTTTTGAGGAAAATGTAGCTCTCAGAACTGAAACAGATGGTTTAAGATTTAATACAGAAACCTTTGAAACACAAAATTTTAATTATAAAATAATTTAGAGCGAAATATATTCCACTTTAAATATTAAACGCTTTACTAGTTTGCACACTTTAAAACTACTACGCAAAACTCTTTACAGAGAAGTTAGTCCCAAACTAAGTTACAGTGAGCCGCCCGACTGCCGCTTGGCTTCTAATAAATTATTTAAACCTATTGCTCTTTAGTCGGCTTCATGGCGGTTTTTTTAATTACGTGTTCAAAAGATCTGAAATAATACTTTAATACTAGTTACTAAAATTTGGCCTGACAATGACATTATTTTTGAGCTATAGAAACTTGTAAAAGTTAAGATATTCTTACAAAATTAGGATTTATGATTTTGCAGCATTTCAAAAAGTTAGTTGATTCGACGAGACACATAACATATCTTAATGTTTTCAGCATCAAAATGAATACAACAATTGACGAGAAATTTAAAATACATTTTTTTTGTAAACTATTAATGAGAAACATTCAGGAGCAAGGAACAATGACGACCAATTTCACCCGGATAAATCACCAAACATATATGTAAGCCAGCAAAACATACTAGACACACACATCGAGCTATATACACAACATAGCTCTGTATATATTCTCCTTTCTTTAGGTATTTTTAAATGAGCCTCTTACTGTGTAGAGCGGTGAGGGGCGCGGTAGCATCCCGCCCTAGGGGTACATGGTCACCATGGGAAATGCCTCAATCGTAGGGTACGGCAGGGAGGACTCCAGAAGCCACTGATGCGTTCCTTAGCTCCTCCCGACTGCCGAGGTAAGCCACCGCGGGGTTTTGTGGGTAGACCGGTTCTCTAGGAGTCTTACACACGTCCTCCGTTTCCCCGAGGAAGGGTATGGTGCCTTCAAATGACAGGCCTGTTGGTATAGTGGTTAGTGACCCTGACTGCTAAGTTCGATTCCCACCCAGGACGAATAATTGTGTGATAAGAACGACCATATATTCTGTCTGGGTGCAATTTATTTACAATTTGTATGTACTCGTATTTAGAAATATTTAAGTAGGTCTATTAGCATTCTGGTTACCATAGTACAGGCTCTGCCTAGTTTGGGATCAGACTGCCGTGTGTGAGATGTGTGAAGTTACTATTACAGTTATTGTTAGAAATATGTTGAATTATATGTATTATGAATTTGAATTGACGTTGCCAATTTAAAACAGTGCTACTAAAATCACATTTAGTATAGTGCAGTCGCAAACGAGAAAAATGTTTCTATCTGTTTCTCGCTGAATTAGATCAGTCACAAAAGAGTGTGTTAATTCAACCTAGCTTCGCAATTATTTTTAGGTTTCTAGATATATGTTTTCTAATAGACCCTAATAATTCGCATTTCATTTCAGTAAAACAGAAATGCGGTATATAATTTGGAGTAGGTAGAACAAATGCAAATATTCCCTATTTCCTACATAGGAACTAGAGGAAGTTCTCTTCCCGCCACATTCAGACGACAAATTGTCGTTGCATTTGCATTACAAGGGAGTCTAATTCATATTCTGTGCTATTTATTTCTAGTAGCGTTTAACGACTATGATGAAAATTTTAATAATTGCTAATTGCATAATGTACTACGGCATTGTATATTTTAAAAAAGGTCTACAAAAAGTCTGAGATGGTATTATCTCCTAGGGATAAACCACAGTAACCATTTTAATCTTTTAAATATTGCAAAAAAATTATGGGTTATTTACGAAGCTATTTTAAACAATACATTATTATTTCTTATCCAATTAAATACGTTAGATACGTTGTGCATTTAATATAGATTAAAATTGCTCTTTGCAGCATATCATTAAAATGAATATTTTAGAAGATGCTAGAGGTGCTAAATGCGGGGTCAAAGCGGCCCTAGCCGCTTTGCTTTCGCTGTTAAGAGTATAGTCCTGAGGTAATCCTATTGTCACGAAGTCAGGACCTGATCCAGGGGAAATTGAGGACAACCCTCTTAATTTTATTGGCACGTATTATGTGTTTCATATTTTCTAAAGCTATTCTAGTTTTTGGGTCTGGGAGTCAGGTTAGGAGGTGGAAGATAGTTCTTTAAATACCATATGTATGTTTAGACTTTTAGTTTTATCTTTTAAACTCATTCAGGTGAGCTGATGATTCAAACTAAAACTCCTTAACCGTTAGGAGTTAGAGGATAATTCTTCAAATTTTATACGTACGTATAGACCTGTAGTTGTATTTTTTTAAGTTTTTTAGATGAGATGATGATGGAAGGTAAAATTACACAACGGTTAGGAGTTGGGTGATAAAACCGAAATAAATAACTATAGACCGTTTAGTCTCATGTCCAATATTTAAAAAATATTTGCCAAAATAATTTTACCTCAAATAAGAAGAACCCTACACAAAAACCAGCCTAAGGCAGCTTAGCAGGCGGGCGGGCTTTAGGGCAGGTTATTTGACATTAGACCATATCCATTCTGTGGGACAAATTATCAAAAGGAACAAGGAGTTTAATGTGTTATTCTATTGCTGTTTTATCGACTACAACAAGGCATTTGGCTCAATTTAGCACGAAAATATCTGGTATTGTTTAAAGAACCAAGCAGTAGAACAAAAGTACATAAGAATAATAAAAAACATAGATACTAACAGTACAGCTAAAATCAAGTTATAAAAAAAAGGGAAGGAAAAAAAACAGAGTTGTAAGAGAAGGGAACCCGTTATCGCCTAAAATATTCACAGCCATCTTAGAAGGAATCTTCCGGAAATTAAATTAGGATCATTAACATAAACGGGAAAGACTATCCCACTTAAGGTTCGCTGACGACATTATATTATTTGCC